TCTACCACGTACACGTATTGTGTATAGCCTTTTCGAGAATACGAGAAATAAATATATAATAATATACTTCGACACCGTTCTATCGATCACCATTAAAGTTCGGACATATATGTAATTTTTATGGAGAAGGTTTTAATGCTGTCCACTTCGTTGCAACCCACTAAGTACTAATACTATTATTAGTACTAGGTGCTGCAGGACTTCAACTTCTATACCGTTTGGTCGATCGACATGAAAATTTTTATACACAGGCAGAATGTCTGCCGGGTCGTTCTATAACCAAGTAGTTTTATATACCAAAATTTAAAGCTAATATTTTAGCTCTCAATGTCATAGTAAAAACAGTACAGTAGGATAAATTCCCGCGCTGTGCGAGACTTAAATGCCTACTGTTGCAGGGCTGTCGCTGCCTTTTTGTTTAACAGCTAAGTCTCATTTATTTTTATTAGTAGTTATAATATTTACAAACATAATAGATACGGATACGTACCCATGCATCATATTTGTTAATAATTTCTTTAGTTTCCTCACAAAGAATCAATGTTTGTCAAAAAAAAAAACAGCTTTAAATTACAACAAATGCCAAATAACTAAAATACGAGTAAATTAACACTAAGTATCTGATTCTGATGGCAGCTCAGTTTTAATGTTCAAAATTAATTTGATCTGATGTGATATGATAAATAATGTAGTTATAAGGTGTGTATCTATGTATAGACATAGTAATATAACCTATCAATAAAAAGCTAATTTACTTAAACAATCGCATATATTCATTTATTTTACAAAAAGAAAAAATAAAACGCAAAAAGACTGCTAGCAAAATTTTATTAAAATTCAGCAGTCTCAAACATAGGTGATTGCGGAACGCGGCGGTGGGCGTCCACGACTCGGCCCGATCTTCCCGACTTATCAAGTGTCGTTGTATGCGTGCTGTGGCTCGTGCGTATGTGTTCGTACTGACACGTGCCAGGCACGCATATTTGCGGCGTTCGGTACATTTCTTAGAAGATAGCCCACTATTCTGTTTTCACTATATCAGTGTTAACATAAGAATGAGAATAAGATGTTTAAACAACAATCAAGACAATGAAGGTATATTTAAGAACTCATTATCTAATTTCAAGAACGATACTTCATTATAATGTGTAATGATTAATGTGTATGTGTGTATGTACGCATTGCAGGTGTTTGGCATTTAAGGGGAAATATTATAATCTCAAATGGCTTAGCAAGGTCCTTCGTTATGCCGAAAATATTGCAGTACTAATTTTGAAATAAATATATGGTAAAGTTGAGGATTAATGTTAAGGATTATGTTAGACGAAAACACGATTTCGTAAAATTTTCTCGATAGAAAAAAAAATCCAAAGTTACCTCCAAAATAAACAATAAACCGCTGTTATTCATAAAATACTTTAAATAAGATCATGAAACTTTGCATACTAACTGAACTAACTATAAATCAGTGCTTATGTTATTTACTTTTTTTAAAATACCATTATTTTCACTGTAAAAAAAATACCTAAACTATCGGCCTATTGAAGCGTGATTCCTGCCGCACGGTCACTTCGCTTCGGCCTTTGAACGGGGAGGTTGTGTCGCTTACGATCAGAATATACATTACGCAACAGGACGACGTAAAATTAAAACGGGAAATAACCGTAATAAAAATAAGAAGCGACTGGCTTGGCGTTAAGAAACAAGCACAAATATGATATGGGCATGATGATGGGCGCAATTGTCAATCTAAACCATCCACAACTCAAAACACACACAAAAAAAATCATCAAAATAGGTCCTCCCGCTTAGCACAAGTTCAGTGACAAACATCCGTGCAGAACAATTATATATGTATGTATATAAAGATAAACATTATGTTTATTGTTCCTGTATCTCTTTCCGTATATGATATTTAACCGGTAAGTCAGACACGATTAGGTTCGGTTGTTTGCGCGTAAACAGTTGGTAGCTTCTATAAATGTTTAACAGATGTCGCTGAAGTCGAACCTGGTGCGGTAAGTACCAGGAAATCATCGCTTTAAGAGTATAAATATGTAAATTACCACTAGCTAGCTCACGCACTATGTACCGTCGAGTTCAATTTGCCGCGCTTCGGCGCTGGAATGCAGATCGGAGTCAGATTGCGTCATTATTGCACAGCCGAGCGTCGGTGCGAGGTAATGTGAAGGTATGCAGTAATGACAGGCTCGAGTGTCGGGGTTCGAGGCTCGTGTCTAACAAGACAACGATAGGAGCGAGTTTTGAATGCGCTGGCATCAAATCTCCGAGGCACATACGTATTTCTTGCGTACTATTTTACACAACATGTAACGTCTCTCGTAGTATGAATCTTTTCTCACAATAAGATTTCTTTTGTAATATTGGTGTTACTCAGAACGGTAAAGCACCGGATTTTCTCACTGCGGATTTGGATAGGCATTTAATGTGCCCAATGGTTATAAAAAAGTTTCCAGAAAAGGGAAAAGTTTTATACCCTACTTACGTTACTTTTTACCTATACCTTCAAAAACTTGGACGACCCTTACCGCACCCCATTTGTTATAAGACTACAGAGCATGTCAAAGCAATAGACATACCATACATACATGCACACATACACACGAAAAACCTATCTATATATTTTTTCATTTTTTAAATACCATTAGTAATCTTATTAATTAACATTATTAATATTCCTTTAACCATTCCTGGTAAGCTTGAAACGCTTGTGTTAGGAGTAGATCACGGCAGTAGTCAAAAGGCGGATTCGAACCCACGATATTTTGAATTCGCGATCGGAGCCCTGCCGTAAGGCTACTGATGCTATAAATATCTCAACACTGAAAATATCTTGCGTATCACACATGAAGATGTTTTAGCTAGATTAATAACACATGAACAAACCCCAGGCCCAGATCAATTTAAGGGGATATAGTAAGTCAGCTCAAATTCGAATTACGCCCCCACTTCCCCGCGCGACGTATGCTATGTACCGACATGTTTGTAACCACTAATACTGTAAGTAGATAGGTCGTTAGATACTTATTTCATTAGATTTATCATATTTATGCCTGTTTCTTAACGTAAACCCAGTCGCTTCTTATTTTTATTACGGTTATTTCCCATTTTAATTTTACGTCGTCTTGTTGCGTAATGTGTATTCTGATCGTAAAAGTAAATAACATAAGCACTGCTTTAATAATTATAAGTTAGTTCAGTTAGTATGCAAAGTTTCATGATCTTATTTAAAATATTTTATGAGTAACAGCGGTTTATTATTTATTTTGGAGGTAACTGCAATTTTTTTCTATCGAGAAAATTTTACGGAATCGTGTTTTCGTCTAACATAGTCCTTAACATTAATCCTCAACTTTACCATATATTTATTTCAAAATTAATGCTACAATATTTTCGGCATAACGGAGGATCTTGCTAAGTGATTTGAGGCTATATTTCCCCTTAAGCATATCAAGATGGAAGTGTTTCAAGAATTATGCATTTGAACGTATGACAGTATTTTAGTTTTGAAAAACTTTACAGTATGAAAGAAATTCTCGTAGATGTATCGTAGAAGAATTACAGATATTTTTATAGAATAAATGTGACAAACGAGCACACAGTTCATCTGATGGTAAGATAATCCCCAAATACTTACACGCTGCTCAATTTTAAAACGTCGTTAAGTCTCATGCTATTTCTATCATTTTAAGTCAAAGTGACAGTGACATCACGAGACTTACGACATCTTAAAATTAAGTAACGTTTGAATATTTAACTAATAGACATATTATAACATTTATCCTCGATTAAGAGTCAAAATGCACATGCGTTGTCATCCCTGAGGACTAAGATGGAGTGCCTCGTTTCCAGTAAGAAGGTTCTCCGGTTTTCTACATACACCACACGAAACATAGCAGCGTTAAGTTGCTATTTTACATAAATTACACATGAACCAACACTAGGAACTTTGTGGGCTATAAAAATAATTTTTTAATTTTGACTAATCACTTAGCCACACGCTACTATGACCATGAATTAAAAAAATGAGTATTTCCGTAGTTCAAAACGCAATTCCGTCAAAATATCTCCACACGTTGCGTAATTCTGAAAAAGCTATTAAATCACCTGAATTTTATCATATTCAGGCGTTTCCGGTTACACAATAACGCATGCAACACACCCACGCAATCTTAATAAAATGCAGGGGCACCTATCATACGCGCAAGTCCATTGCATGCCATTTATTACGTAATCGACAAGTTTTTCGATGTGGGTCTGACTTCATATGAGAAATATTTAAAAATTCTCATTTACACGCGTGACGTCTTTATGGTATACCATATGGTATACTATATATAGCTGGTAGCTAATACCCGCTCGCTTTGCTGGGCGCACGATAATAGACGATAATAAGATAGATATACAATATCAGGAGAAAGAAAATCTTTATGGGACTATCGTAAAATACGGTCTAAATGAGCGTCTACGTTGCGAAATGAGTAACTATACTAAATTACAAGTGTATTACTAGTACTCCTCAACTACTTAACCGATTTTATTCAGATTTGGACACCGTTTGCAGTTTGGTCCAACTTGGGAGATAGGATAGTTCAAAGGGTCGTCGAAAAGGGCAGAACAACGTCTGCCTGACAAGCTAGTGGTTTCATAAAAACCAACCCTAGTTATACCCTCATTGAAATTTATCCCATCGTTGGGATGCTTCGAGGGTAACATACATACCCACATACATGCGAAAAACGTAACCCTGTCTTTGTTGTTGCGAAGTCAGGTAAAAAGTTAGACAACAATAAACAATATTCCAATCTTTTATTTAACATTTTATGCAACGAATCAGAAGCAGAACTGATCAAAACCGCGTTTGCTAACCTGTAAAAACCTGTAGTAACCTAGTAAGTAGTAACCTGTAGCGTAGGACAGCAGTAGATTTTTGACAGGCTGTAATGATGATGATTGATGATGATGACGACATATCATACCTGTAAGTGTGAATCGTCCTTGCTCTGTTCTGGTTTCGTGAACTCCGCTTGAAGCGCACTGGGCTTCCCTCCGAGTGGCAGCGTCGGCGCTTCATTCCTCCACGTCTGTCGCTCATCCTGTCTGAACCCTGGGTTGTCGAAAGCGAATTCATCTTTCACGGACTCCGGGTCCGTCGTTAATACGAGGTGTTTTCCTGTAGACAAGAATAGAATAAAATAAGATTTCTTGCTATATATTACCTGCGCGTAATAAGGCTTAGCTAAGGGAAATTCGAAAAAAAAAAAGTGAGAAATATCCAATTAGGTCTACAGATTTTTTAAAAAACATTGGCTTAATACGGTTTGTATAAAGTGTAAACGAAGAATTGTCACATTTGCCATGAAGAAAAACAAAATTAAACATTTCTAAAACCCTTGCTAGTAGGTCCTATTTTACTATGGTAGGGTAATAAGCCCTACTAATTTAACGAACTCAAATAATCAAACTATGCGTAATATATTTAATATCTGTTCTGTGATCAATAATTACATGAATGCGGCAATTAAGATTTAAAGTTCTAAAAAATAGAAATTTCCTCGCCTAACAACACTGAAAGTCATTAGTATAATGATGAACAAACTGACAAGCAAACGCACCGCTCGTGATTATCATCAGTGCGTCGGTTGTGTCTCGAGCTCTCGAGTAGAGATGAGTTTTAGGGTGAGTTTAGGGTTGGGTTGATTGTTGGGTTAATTATATAGGTCTTTGGGTTAAGTGTCATCTTAAGGCGCTACCCTGACCAAAACCTGGCAAAAGTGCGTTTTTCAGAGACTATTATCTCATTAGTTATGAGAAATAAGCTACATCTAAAAGCACATTATTAATGTTCGATATCCTATCATCACATTCCACGTTCTAATTTGTTTTTATGTGTTATGAATACATTTAAAATCTACTTTTAAAAAATGACTAAAATTATTGATTACATGCATCTGTTGCTAAAGGAAATGCTCTAATCGTTTGAGAATTACACTAATGGATAGATAATTTAAAAATCTATATTCTACACGTTTTATTTAATTTCTTAAGTTCGCTTATCTCTTTTAATTGAAATAATTCCAAATATTCGGGCGTATTTTTCCGTGATATATTGTAGCGAGAGCGCGTGGATTGTATGGGACCGAACGCTCAAGGTCTCTCGCTAGGGGAACCGTCTTAACCGAATTTTGTCACAACGGCCAGTTTCCACGGAGACTAGCCTATCTGCACATTGTAGTATCCGAATGTATGCGCAAGCACGCACAGGTGCACTCTCAGGGGACCTCACAATCATTAAATCGCAACCCGACACGATCCGAGAGAGCTTAGGCTCAAGACCAATAATTTACACATAATTTAGTAACTTCTAATGTCAAGACCACAATTCTTCGACACACTTTGTCTTTGCACTATTTGGACAGCTGAAATCGGGCCGTTTTCTGAATACGACATTAGTTTAGTTATAAAAGCGTACGATTTATTTGGATGTATAACATTTGATGGTCGCCATACAGGGTCAGTTCAACTGATCAATAAATAAACTTATGTATAAAACTCAAATATTGATAAAATAAACTTATATTATAAAACTCCAATATTGATATATTTATAATTATCGATATATCGAAAACCCGATATTTAAAAAAATATAAACAGTTTTAGTTTGAACTGATCAGTCGGAATGATCAGTTGAACTAATCGTGTGTGGCGTTCATTAAAAGTTATATAACATACAATATAAAACAAAAAAACTAAACACGAAGAGGGAGTATAATAAAGGCCTATGGTGAAATTTAGTATGCCTTAATAACCACCGACTAAGTACCTATTTAAGAAAAACCGATACGATACGTTATTGAAATTTTCAAGATCAAAAAAGTATTTATTCACAAAGATAAAGATTACGAATTTGGATAGCTAAGCGTAATATTACAAAATATATCTAAGATTTATTTGGACTGATTTTTATTATTGGTGCAGTGCGGTCGTATCTTATGATAAATAATGCAATTCTGATGGACGCGGAGTAGCACGTCTCTGCAAACTTGTAGAGACATTATCTCGAATAGTAGACTGTTGTTATCTCCTTAAACGAAAGCGGTTATTATAAATACTTATCAGCCGAGAGGCCTTACTATCCGCAGGTATCTTACATAATGTAGATTTTTAATGATGTTAGAAGATATATTTTTGATGATACTAAGATGTACAATTAAGGGGAAATATAATGTCAAATGGCTTAGCAAGATCCTTCGTTATGCCGAAAATATTGCAGCATTAATTTTGAAATAAATGTATGGTAAAGTTGAGGATTAATGTTAAGGATTATGTTAGACGAAAACACGATTTCGTAAAATTTTCTCGATAGAAAAAAAATCCAAAGTTACCTCCAAAATAAACAATAAACCGCTGTTATTCATAAAATACTTTAAATAAGATCATGAAACTTTGCATACTAACTGAACTAACTATAAAGCAGTGCTTATGTTATTTACTTTTTTTAAAATACCATTATTTTCACTGTAAAAAAGAAATTACCTAAACTATCGGCGCGTAAGCTTGGTTCCTGTCGCTCCGTGTCCGTTAGTATTGCTCCGGCTTTTGAAGAGAGAAGTTGTGTCGCTTACGATCAGAAAACACATTACGCAACAGGACGACGTAAAATTAAAATGGGAAATAACCGTTATAAAAATAAGAAGCGACTGGGTTGGCGTTAAGAAACGGGCATATATATGATAAACATAATGAAATAAGTGTCTAACGACCTTTCTACTTACAGTATTAGTGATTACAAACATGTCGGTACATAGCACACGCCGCGCGGGCAAGTGGGGACGAAATTAGAATTTGAGCTGACTTACTCTATCCCCTTAATAGTAAAGACGCTGCTTTGATCGAAGGCTGCTGCCTATTTTGTGTTTTGTTCCCGTCTGCCGCCTCTTACGACATCCTCGGGACCATATGGGGTAGTGGGTATCCATACGCCGCCGCTACACGGTTATGATGATGACAGTTGTCATCACCAACTATGACATTGATGTCACTTTAGAAATTATTAATACCTTAAATATAATACAAGTCACGTTTTTTTATTCGTGCAATGGTACGACCATAGTACATACAGTACGCTATCTACGAAAACTTCAATTTTAATTGTGTATAGGTAGTAGTTACAAGGGCGATCACTCCAATACTTCTAAAATTTGTTCTTTTTTCAATTTCGGTTTTACACATACACATACACACACATACAATGTATAAATAAAGATATGGGTAGGCAGCTAAGTTGGTACATTTTAGGTACTTCTTCAGTGTCTCATTAATGATATCATCATCACCATTATAGCATCACTCGATGGATTCAACTCGGCTGGGCAGCGTTTGAGAAATTTCGACACATCTTCTCGTCAGGTATACCTCAATACCTGAAAACTATATTGTACAACCAGTGCGTGTTGCCAGTGATGACTTATGGATCTGAGACGTGGTCCTTCACTGCGGCCGTATGAGGACGCTCAGCGAGCTATGGAGAGGGCTGTGCTTGGGGTTTCTCTGCGTGATAAACTTAGAAATGAGGACATCCGCAGTAGAACCAGACTAACCGATATAGCCTAACGGATTAGTAAGCTGAAATGGCAATGGGCCGGCCATATAGCTCGAAAAACCGACAAACGATGGGAAAAATGATTCTTGAGTAGCAGCTTCGTACCGGTGGGCATAGTGTAGGGCGACCTCCCACTAGATGGAGTGACGACCTGGTAAGACAGACAGGAAGTCGATGGACGCAGGAGGACCTTGCTTTGTTACATTCCTTGGAGGTGGCCTATGTTCTATATAGGCCTATGTGTTGCCAATAAAACATCAGTTTAACCGATCATCATCAGTTTCTCGAAGCCTAAACATAGGTGTCGTAAAAATTGACGGTAATATAATTAATTGAAAAAAAAAAAACAACAATCTTTGAAAAGTCTAGCAACCAATACGGTTCATCACGTTCATAACGAAAATAATGATTGTCTTCTTACATATGAAAAATACTTTCAATAAAGATCTCAAACCTCATCAACAAGTGGGGATCACAAAACCCGTAACGTGAACGTAATCGGTCAGCGTGCGTGCAGCCAAGGCAAGAAACAAGGCCGATGGACCTCATTGACTACTATAATACTAATACCGTTTAATCAATTACAATAGATTTGCATATTTCGAAACACTTAATCGTGTCCATTATCATTGAACAGCCGTGGAAATTTGAAATATTTAATCGAAATATATATATATATATATATATATATATATATATATATATATATATATATATATATATGTATGTATATGTATAATTAGGAACACTTCGAAAAATCAACCAAAAAGAAAACTAATTACACTACACAATACTAAAGTCTGCTAAAATATTTACTCTTATGTCAACTGTCAAAATGGCGGCGATCCTCGATGGAGCAGCGCCCTTTTGACACTTTCGATTGACTGATGAAGAGCTATCGTATCACAGAATCATCTATGCAAACAAGACTGTAGTTTTTAAGTTATAAGTGACCATATTAACCGGATGACCATATTACCTTCACATACATCGAATTTAGTTAAATATTTTGAAATCATTGCTATGTTGTATGGTAAGTATGGTAATAAGACCATATACACAGCATATTAATATTAACAGCTCAAATTTTACCATAATTTTTTATCATATTTAACAATATTTTTATGGCAACTAAAGAAAAAAATATTAAAACTTATTTCTTGCCTACCCTGTGCCTCATCACGATTTTTAATTTCTCATATAAATAACACAGGAATTTTTTTCATTTGGAATTTTATTGTGTTCTAACAAATTAACATATTTTAGTAGTAAATTGATCGATCTATAAGGTGTGTATGTTTTTTCGCTAAATCGACTCGTTTCAAAGTCATTCAAGGTTAAAGTTCATCTACAAATGGTATATGATGATTTTCATATTTTTTTCTATTTTATCCAAAAATAATGGTTCAAAAACATAAAACATATTTTTCGTAAAGTTCATCAAGTGTTCTATATTTATATTTATATATTTTCACATTAATGAGAATGTAATAGAGCGGTATGCATGTTTTTTTTTAATTGAAGGACTAACTTTCCTTTTTCTTTGCAAATAAATTGCCACAACACATTCA